AAAAAAAAAAAAAAAAAAAGAAAACACCCTGGTTAAAACAAAAAACAAAAAACAAAAAACAAAAAAAAGGAAAACACCCTGCTAGAGCACACACAACAAAGACGTGAGTGAATAACACGAAATACCAAATGCCAGATTTGTTCAGCCCCTATAGTCTTCTCTACAGCTCTGCTGTCTCTGCCAGAGCACCACATGGATGGGCCAAGCCAGTTCTAAGGGATCATAGAGCCTAGAAACACAGAAACATCAGATCTGCAGATTCTGAACTCTCAGAAACACAGAATTTTAACATTTTGGTAGCATAGAATTTTAGTATCTAGTGATACAAAACCTACACATTCTAGGGATATGTCAGGTGTACAGATTATGTGATTCTGGGAAGTTCCTATGGTCCCAGAGATTTTAATCCTTTGTCATTCACAACTTATTTTTAAGATTTAAATTCATAAAGTAAATGGTCATGAGTCATAGGCTATTAGCTGTAATAACTTTTTTTTGTCTTTTTTGGGACAGGGTTTCACTATGATGTTCAGGCTGGCCTTGAACTTGTAGCCCAGGCTGGTCTCGAACTTGAGGCGATACTCCTGCCTCAGCCTCCTAAGTGCTGGGGTTACAGGTGTGCACCATGTCCAGTGTCATAGGCTACTAGAGTCAGGAACCTTGATAATTTTGTTTTTTGGCAGTACTAAAGATTGAACCCACAGCGCCTTTGCACTGAACTACATCCTGGGCCATTTATTTATTTATTTATTGTCTTTTTGAGACAATCTCACTATGCAATTCAGGCTGGCCTTTAACTCACTTTGTAACCCAGGCTGGCCTCGAACTTGCATGGATCCTCCTGTCTCAGCCCCTCGGGTGCTAGGATTATAGGCATGCGCCACCATACTCAGCCTATTTATTTTATTTATTATTGTTATTATTACTTGCTTTTTTGAGACAGGGTCTCACTATACAGTTTAGTTTAGCTTTGAGTTATATAGTCCAGGCTGACCTCAAACTTGCAGCAATCCTCCTGCCTCAGTCTCCAGAGTGCTGTGATTACAGGGATGTGCCACCAAGCCATCTTATTTATTGACAGTGTCACTAAGTCACTAAATTGTCCAGGCTGGGTTTGAACTTGTGATCTTCCTGCCTTAGCCTCCCAGAGTGCTGAGATTACAGAGAGGGCCAGCTAGGAATCATGATGGGATATATGGTCAGCCCTCCTTGCCCCACCTCCCTATCCACCTGTTTTACCCCATACGTCCGGCTCAGTCTCACAGCCTTCAAGAAAGGAAACTGGAAATTTTCAGCAAATGGGACTCAGATTCTCCTTTTGGGTGCTGCCTGAGAAAAGCCCCTAACTAGGGTACCTCACTGCTATCAGGTCAAATTGGTCCCATCCTGGGAGAGTTGTGACCCAGTCCCTGACACAGACAAAGGTTCAGGCCTGGCTCTAGGTGTCTCGACCCAGGGTACTCAACTGATGCCCCGCCCTGGGCTGCTTCTGGCACTGGAGACCGTGCTGGCCACATGGGATGACTGAGCTCCTCTGCCAGGGTCTAAATCTGGGACCTGGCTGCTGTGTGTCCTGGCTTTGCCACTCGACCTCTGTTGCCTGGTGGGGAGGCCCTTTCCTGACCTGCAGGGATCGGCTGGCTGTCATGGTCAGTGGGCTGGGGGTGGATCTGGAACAAACTGACATTCCCGGGGCATGGGCCGGTGGGTGTCACTCAGCTATGCTCCAGGAAGTGACAGTCCTCCTGACTGTAAGGGACGGGAAGTTGGAGGAGGCAGCAAGGGGCCATGGCTGAGCTGCTAGGCCTAGAGGGAACAAGAGATGGACAGGTGGCAGCAGCCATGTGTCCCTGTAGAGCACGCTGTCCAGTGCCTCCCAATCCTCTGGGTCCCACCATGCTGAGCCCGTGGCGGCAGGACACCATTGGTATGGGGGCCCCACCCCTAAATCTGTACCTGTTGGGATCCCTCACCTTCCTGTAGTTCCAGTGGGCAGCACTGAGGACCACCCGGCCCTCTGCCTGGGGTCTCTTGGCCCATTCTCAGGTCCAGACTCTGGGACCTGCCTGATGACACTACCAGGAGACCTGAGCTTTGACCTCCCTTCTTCCTGTGCCCCAGTCCCACCGGAAGTTCTCTGCCCCGCGGCATGGACACCTGGGCTTCCTGCCCCACAAGAGGAGCCGCCGGCACCGGGGCAAGGTGAAAACATGGCCAAAGGATGACCCCAGCCGGCCCGTGCATCTTACAGCCTTCCTGGGCTACAAGGCGGGGATGACCCACACCTTGCGGGAGGTGCACCGCCCAGGGCTCAGTGAGTCACTGCGGGACACATGGTGGTTGGTGGAGGGATTTCCAGATGCTAGGAGCCAGAATTGCTCTCTGATCCAGGATGGGGTGTGGTCCTGGAAAAGCCCCTGCCCAAGGGACTCAGGACAGTGACAGATCAAGAGTGGCAACAACTTGGGTGGGTTCTGTCACTGCCTTCATTTTACAAATGAGGAAATGAGGCACAGAGTAGCTAAGAAACTAGTCTAGTCAGTAAGTAGATGGGGCCTGGGGATACAGCTCAGAGGCACAAGTGCCTGCCTGGCAAGCACAAGGTCCTGAGTTCAATTCCCAGTACAAAAAAAAAAAAAATCAGAAGTAAGTAGATGGAACTGGAATTCAAAGGTGGACACCAGCCCTCACTTCAACCCACCTGACAGAATGCCTGTACCTTTTGGGGAATATATATAATCTTGTTATATGTAAAATATATAAATAAATAATTATATAGTATATATATATATATATAACCTCGTTTTGTGTTTTGGAGACAGGGTCTTGCTATGTAGTTCAGGCTGGCCTTAAATTCATTGTGTGGCCTAGGCTGGCCTTGAGTTTGAGGTCCTTCTGCCTCAGCCTCCTGAGTTCTAGGATTACAAATATGTGCCTCCACACCTAGATGCTTGTTTTGTTTTCAAATAATTACAGATTTACAAGTAGTTGTAAGAAATAACCAGATACTAACATGGATAGTTCATCTCCTTATGCAGGTTTCCCAGTTGTGCACTCACCCTGTGTGTGTATGTGAGTGTGTATGGGGGGGTGGTCTGTGCACTTTGTCATTTGTGTCAACCTGTACACTAATGCCTCAGTCCAAACCCAGAACACTCTATCCCTGAAGGGCCCCAGGCTACCTTGTTTGCCATGCTCTACTGACCCCTCCCCAGCCTCCTGGCAACTGTTCTCTCTCCTCATATAGATTTCTTTTTTTTTTTTTATTTTTCTCTGGTACCGGGAACCGAACTCACGACCTTGCGCTTGCCAGGCAGGTGCTTTTGCCGCTGAGCTAAATCCCCAGCCCCTCCTCATATAGATTTCTTCCTTGCTTTTTTTTATTGTGGTAAAATATGCATAACATAAAATGTACTGCCTTGGCCATGCACAGTGGCACACACACTTGTAATCCCAGTTACTCAGGAGACTGAGTCAGGAGGATGACAATTTTGAGGTCAGACTGGCTAGTGTAGCAAGACCCTTTCTCAAAATAAAACTGAAAGGCCGGCATCGTGTTTAAAATCCCAGTACTCTGGGAGGTTGAGGCAGGAAGATGGTGAGTTCAAACCCAGCCTGGGCACTTTAGTGACTTAGTGACACCCTGTCTCAAATAAAATTTAAAAAGGGCTGGGAAGCAGGGGTGGTAGCACATGTCTGTAATCTCAGCGCTCGAGGTCGAAGAAGGAGGCTCCACACAAGTTTGAAGCCAGCCTGGGCTACAGAGTGAGTTGTAGAATAGCCAAACTATATAATGAAACCTTGTCTCAAAAAAAAAAAAAAAAAAAGAAAGGGCTAGGGAGTGTAGCTCAGTATGAACACATGGAGGCCCTGAGTTCTATCCCCAGTACCAAAAAATAAATAAATAAAATGAAATTTTTAAAAAGGCTGGGATAAACTGGACACGGTGGTACATGTCTGTAATCCTAGCATTTAGGGAGGCTGAGGCAGGAAGACTGTAAATTTAAGGTCAACTTGGACAATTTAGTGAAACCTTGTCTCCAAAAAAAAAAAAAAGCTGGGATGTAGCTCAGTATGAAGGTCCAGTAACCCTTAGTACCACATTAAAAATGGGTAGAGGGTGGGATGTAACTCAGTTGTACATCACTTGTCCAGTATATGCATGAGGCCCGGGGTTTAATCTCTAGTACTACAAAAGTGAAAAATTTCCTTAAACCTTTTAAACTATTCAATGATATTAAGTATTGATACATATAGTTTCCCCTAGTTTTCTTTCTTTCTTTTTTGGTCTTTTTGAGACAGGGTTTCACTATAGTTTAGGCTGGTCTTGAACTCACTTATGTATCCCAGGCTGGCCTCAAACTCGCAACGATCCTCCTGCTTCAGCCTATCTTGCTGTACTGGGTGTTGAGTCTAGGGCTTTCTCACTTAGGCACATTGCTAACCCCATTTTTTGTTTTGAGACAGGATGGGGTTGAATTTGCTTCAGCTTCCAAGTGCTGAGATTAGGAGCCAGGCATGGTGGCTCATGCCTGTAATCCCAGCAGTCGAAAGGCTGAGGCAGGAGGATCCTTGTGAGTTTGAGGCCAGCCTCTGCTACAAAGTGAGTTCAAGGCCAGCCTGAAGTGCATAGTGAAACCCCGTCTCAAAAAGACAAAAACAAACAAAAAACCACAAGGTGCTGAAATTACAGGAGTGGGCTACCACACCTGGCTCCTTAAAATATTTTAAAAACTTGTATTTTGCTTCATGGCAGCCTAATCAATAATATCCGTACAATCATGTTTTTCTTTCAAGATTTTGCTAGAATTTATAAAAATACATTTATTAAAAGGAGGTTTAGCCAGGTGTGGTGTAGTAGTTCAGTGTGAAGGCCCTGGGTTCAATCCCTAGCACTACAGAGAGACAGAGAGAGACAGAGAAAGACAGAGAGAGAGAGAGAGAGAGGGGCAGGATGGGAGGGAGAGAGAAGCGGGAAGAAAAGGGTGCCTAATCCAACCCCATCTTGCAGAGGAGCTGCCCTGACTGCTGGCCCCACACCTTCCTGGCCCACCTTCTGTGGCCAGCTCTTTCCCATGGACCTCAGGCGGTTCCCTTTATAACCCTGATCCCCGGTCTCATCTAGAAATTTCCAAGCGAGAAGAGGTGGAGGCAGTGACGATTGTGGAGACGCCACCCCTGATGGTGGTGGGTGTGGTTGGCTACGTGGCCACCCCTCGAGGCCTGAGGAGTTTCAAGACCATCTTTGCGGAACACCTTAGTGATGAGTGCCGCCGTCGCTTCTACAAGGACTGGTGAGGGGCATGCCCCAGCTCTGTGCTGGAACCAGAGGGGTGGGTGGGTAGAACTGGGGTCAACATTGTGTGGAAGGTAGGAAAGTGTATGTGTGTGTTGGGGAGTGCCTTCCCTTCAGAAAGAGATGAAGATGTATTAAAGGACTGAAGAGGAAATCAGGATATACACAGTAATTTTTTTTTTTTTGTACCAGGAATCAAACTCACGACCTTGCACTTTCCAGGCAGGCACTGTGCTGCTGAGCTATATTCCTGGCCAGAAGTCAGGATAGAGGAAGGAAAAAGGAAATATAATCATCAGGGCTAATTTGATGGCATTTCAGAGTTGGTTGAGCTTCCTAGTGGATAAGGTGAAAAGAGAAACAGCCAATTGAGAAGCTCTTTTGTTTTGTTTTTTGTTTTTCTTCCGGTACCAGGAATCAAACTCCCGACCTTGCGCTTGCCAGGCAGGCGCTGTGCTACTGAGCTAAATCCCCAGCCCCGAGAAGCTCTTGTACATAGAAAGAAAGGTATTCTCAGGTCTCAAATCTTCTCTGGCACTAAGTTCTGACAAGGAAGGCCCACCTGCCTAGGGAACTCACAGGCACCTCTCCACACACATACCTTATGGAGACAGAGGCCCAGCCCAGCCCTGACCCTCTGTGAGAGGTGATGAAAAGGGCCCCAGAGTCAGTGCAGGCTGTGTGACCAAGGCAAGCTGGCTATTTCTTGTCCCTATGCTGTGAAAAGGGACTAGGAGTGGTCCCTAGGTTGTGGGGACCAGATTGCTGAAGTGTATCCAGTGTCCAGCTTAGAGTAAGTGACCAGCAAATGCCAGGTTTCCTGCTTTTCCTGTTTCCATCATGAATTTGCCCCTCATCTGGAAGCTGGAGGTCTTAAACCCCAGAACCTTGTTTCTTCATCCAGAATGCAGATAGTCATTTCTGCCTTCCCGAGCTCTGATGAGGGTTAAATACTGTCCCTCAAGCCTGAGGCTGGTGTCTGTTCACTGTGCCTTCTGCAGGCTTCAGAAGACCAGCAGCACAGCAAGGGGGCATGTGGGGTGGTCTCCAGGTATGTGCCCCAAGGAGGCAGGGAGGGTGCCTACTTGATAGGCAAGGGAGACACGGAGACCTGGAGAGGAGGAGGAGTCTGTGTTCAAAGATGACGCTGGAACCAGCCTGGGAGCTCAGGGCAGGGCGCTGCTTAGGGGGCTGTAGGCGGGGTGGGGACAGGTTGGCCTGGGGAGCTGCCCCGGCTGCGCCCCTGAGTACTTCCTGTGCATGGCTCAGGCACAAGAGCAAGAAGAAAGCCTTCACCAAGGCCTGCAAGAGGTGGCGGGATGCCGACGGCAAAAGGCAGCTCCAGAAGGACTTTGCGGCCATGAAGAAGTACTGCAAAGTCATTCGGGTCATTGTCCACACACAGGTCAGCCCCACCTCCTCCTCTCGGTCTGTCCACCCCAGGTTCCCTCCCCTTTTAGCTTCCAGGAGCCCTGACAAATGTCAGCCTAAAAATACCACAAGTCTTGGGCATAAGACGAATGACTGCCAACTGCCTTGCTGGCCACAACAACCTGAGACAGGATGTTGTCAGTGCCTGCCAAGGGGCCGCAGGACACTGGCCACATCCCACGGTCACCTAAAACCCTAAAATGGCCAGAAGGGCTTGGGTGTCCTGCCACACTCCAGTGTGCAGGGCCATTGCCTCCCTGGCCCAGGAGTGTATGTGATTCAGTACCTGAGGTCTGGCTTCATCTGGGTGACAAGTCTTTTATGCTCTGGCTTCTACAGGAACACTCCCTGGCATCTGTCTTCAGGGGAGGCTGCCTCCTGCCCTCTCTAGAGCCTCCCAGCCCCTGAATAAACGCCCTTGCCCCAGTTACTCTCACACTTGCAGTTCACGGGCAGTGAGTCATGATTAATGTCCGTCTCCCTCCACTGACTTGACCTTGTTCCCTCGGTACAGAGGCCACAGCTGCCATGTTCACTGTGCAGCCCCAGCGTCTAACAAAAGCCTAGTATGCAGTAGGTGCTTCATAAATATTTGTGGGACACTCTGCTGTGCTCTCACTGGCCAGTTTCACCTGTATAGCTGCACATTCTGTGCTTCACGTAGCATCAGCCAGAGATGCACAGGCTGATCATATCACACCTGGTCCTCCCCACAACCTGCCTGGCTTTGCCACGCTCTTTGCTCACCACCATCTGGCCACATTGGTCTATTTCTTTTTTCTTTCCTTTTTTTTTTTTTTTTTTGTCTTTTTGCGACAAGGTCTGGCGATGCAGTTCAGGCTGGCCTTAAACTTGTGCTGATCCTCCTGCCTCAGCCTCCTGAGTGCTGGGATTACAGGCGTGCGCCACCACGCCTGGCCTTTTTCTTTCTTTTTCTGAGACAGAATCTCACTAAGTTGCCCAGACTGGGCTTGAACTTTCCATCTTCCGGCCTCAGCATCGCAAGTTCTAGAATTACAGGCATGTGCTAACACACCCAGCATAGTCTTCTTTCTGTTCCACCAACTCTTTAAGATCTTCCCAGCCACAGTAACTTTGCACATGCTGTTCCTTCAGCTCATTTTTTTTTTGGATCTTCACCTCACGGCTTCTTTCTGTTATTGGTGTCACCTACTCAGGACTTCCCTGACACTCTCTAAAGTACGCCCCTCCCAATAGTCTATCTGAGCACTTAGTCCTCTCCAAGAGTTTACTTGGCTTCTGTCTTTGCCCTAGCCTGAGGTGAGGGACTATGTCTACCTCATTCCATGCTGTACCCACAGTGCCTAGCATAGCACACAGCATGCAACCGGGGCACAGGAACATCTGTGAATGAATGAATGCATAAAAGACTTCAGGTCACTAGTTGGCCATGCCACGTCTGCAGATGTAGGGGCCATGTGACCTTACCATTGTACCATGTCCTGCAGATGAAGCTGCTGCCCTTCCGGCAGAAGAAGGCCCATATTATGGAGATCCAACTAAATGGTGGCACAGTGGCTGAGAAGGTGGCCTGGGCTCAGGCCCGACTGGAGAAGCAGGTGCCAGTACACAGTGTTTTCAGCCAGAGTGAGGTCATTGATGTCATCGCTGTCACCAAGGGCCGGGGTGTCAAAGGTAGGGCACGGTGGGGATGTCAGCTCTAGGGAAGGCTGCTGGAGGCAATGGGGGCCAGACTGCTCAGACACCAGCCCCTACCACCCGCAGGGGTCACCAGCCGCTGGCATACCAAGAAGCTGCCACGGAAGACCCACAAGGGGCTGCGCAAGGTAGCCTGCATTGGTGCCTGGCACCCTGCCCGTGTGGGCTGCTCCATTGCCCGGGCTGGGCAGAAGGGTTACCACCACCGCACTGAGCTCAACAAGAAGGTGTGTCCATGATCCTGGGGGGAATACGGTGGGTGGTGTGCATGACCCAGACACTTCCCAGGGTTCATGAAATGCCACCAGTACCTGGGTCTGCGCATGTGTGCTGATGTGGGGGACATGGCCCCAGAAGCCACCTCTGGCCCCTAGTGAGCCCTCTTCTCCTGGCAGATCTACCGCATTGGCCGGGGGCTCCACATGGAGGAAGGAAAGCTGGTCAAGAACAATGCATCCACCAGCTATGATGTGACTGACAAGTCCATCACGCCATTGGTGAGGGTGAATGGCTGGGTTGGCTGAGGGGGCCTGGCAAGTATGGGGGGGGGGCTTGAGCCCCAGATGAATGCTACCTTGCTCCAGGAACTCAAGATGTGTGCCCCACAGGCAGACTGGGGCACAAGGCCCTACTAGGTAGGCAGTGATGTGGGGCTTGCTGCAGCAACAAGCAGCCGACTGGTGGCCTTAGTCTCTGCCATCTCCTGTACCCTCTAAGCCTCCTCCGAGGTGCTCACACTCTGGCTGCTGTCAGGAGAGTGTGAGATGCCCTAACTCTCACCACGGTCTGGGAGCCCAAACTCCAGCCATGTGAGGCCTGCAGCAAGTAATGCCAACCTGCTGAGCCTTAGTTTGCCCCCATAAAAATACAGATGTTGCCTGGTGTAGTGGCACACGCCTGTAATCCCAGCACTCAAGAGACTGAGGCAGGAGGCTCACAGCAAGTTTGAGGTCAGTCTAGGATACATAGTAAGTTCAAGACCAGCCTGAACTACATAGTGAAGCCTTGTCTCAAACAAACAAACAAACAAACAAACAAACAAACAAACAAAAAACAGATGCTGAGTGAGACAATGGACTAAAAGAACTTAGCCCGGATCTCTCTCTCCTGGGGGCTCCAGTCACAGCCCTATGTGGAAAATTTTCCTAGGCCTCCCCCGCTCCCTCCCCGAGCTCAGCAGCCCTTTCCCTGGCATGGCCTCTGGCTTGTCTCCCTCGCAGGGTGGCTTCCCTCACTATGGGGAAGTCAACAACGACTACATCATGCTGAAGGGTTGCATCGCAGGTACCAAGAAGCGGGTCATTACGCTGAGGAAGGTGAGTGCAGCACAGAGATGGGAGGCGGGTCGCTGTGGGCTGCCCCAGCCAGCCTGTCCTACCCTGCAGCCTGCTCGGGGTGGGGTGGGTCTGGCAGGAGGCGGGTGGGGGAGATGTTGGAACCGGAGGTGGTGACAGGAGGGGCTACGGCCCACCCACCTGGACAACGCTCGTCTCCATCCCCAGTCCCTCCTGGTGCACCACAGCCGCCGAGCCCTGGAGAACATTGAGCTCAAATTCATCGACACCACCTCCAAGTTTGGCCATGGCCGCTTCCAGACAGCCCAAGAGAAAAGGGCCTTCATGGTAAGCCAGCCCCTTCTCCTCTGGGGCTCGAATTCCACCTTCGGAGCGGGGAAGTTAGACGCATCGAGCTGGCAGGGCCACCCCACACTCACTCACAGGAGCGGCTTTTAGGCCTGGGTGGCCTGGCGCGGGCTAGGGGCGGTGGCCCCGGACAGACTTGTGACCAGCGCTTCTCCTGTCCTCCCCAGGGCCCCCAGAAGAAACATCTCGAGAAGGAGAAGCCGGAAGCCTCCGGGGATTTATAGGGAACATGGGATGGAGGGACCTGAGGCGTGCACCCCGGCCCACCGCGGGCCCGTCCTGTTCAATAAATGTTGGAGGCAGCTCGGCGTCTCGGAGGGTTGGGGTCGCGGAAAGGCCGGGCGACGCGGACACGAAACAAGAAGCCCCACCCCACGTGGCCCAAGGAGCCGCAGCCCACTGGGGAAGGGGCGGGGCTTCCGGCAGCGGGGGATAGACTTGGCGGACGCAGCTCAGGAGTGACCCTTCGCAGCAAGCGATGGCGGGGACACTGAAAAGAAGGGATTCAACAGGTCCGAGGGAGGGGGCGGGGCCTTCTGGAGGCGGAAGCAGCAACCCGCTACCCAAGCCGCGATTGGTCCAAGAGAGGGAGCAGGGCCCTCTGGGAAGTGGGGAGGGGGAAATCCTGGAGCCTCCCTGGGATTGGTCCTCTTCAGGGGCGGGGGGTCAGGCGTATGGAGTGATTGATTGGTCCTTGGGAAGGGGTTGTTGGCGTGGGTACACTGGCTTGGGGATTAGAGGCCTTGGGTCTGTCCTGGCGGCACCATGTCGTTCTGCAGCTTCTTCGGGGGCGAGGTTTTCCAGAACCACTTTGAACCAGGTCGATCGTACGACTCTTGTATTAGAGGGGTGTCACTACCCTCCGGAGTCGGTGGAGCTCGGGGCCCTGGAATGGGGCGAGTGTGTGGCCTTCCGGAGGAGTGAATGTCGGGGAGGGAAAGGTGGTCGTGGAGGAGGTGGTAGTCTGGAGGGCCGGGGGAGTGGAGAGACTCGAGGGGACAGCCCTCGAACCTCACCGTGACTATTCGTGGGGTAACTGGGTCAGGGTCGGGACTTCGGGAGGGCACAGTGGAACATCTGGACCAGGAGCAGTGCCAGGTGTTTCGCCAGATGATCTGGTTTTTAGGATCCGCGGGGTGAGTGGGCAAGTACCGAATATCCTATTCAGATGGAAATGTGCCAGCCCAAATGCCTCCCCATCTGCCCAGGGCCTTCTGGTTGAGTAACCAGGAATGCCACAGGGCCCCGGGGAAGTGAAGTTTGACCTGTACAGGCAGGGTGTGGTGGTTTGGAGCATGGCTAGCTCTCAGCCTGACTCCAAGCTCTGTGAGATCTTGGTGAGTTCTAGCTGGGCTCTCCAAATAATGGACTAATTTGATAAAAACTGGTCCATATAGAAAACTAGGGCATTGGTTTCCCTGGGGCAACATCTGTTGGGACTAGGCTGTGAAACCAGGTGTCTGTGGGACCAGCTGTAATATAGGACCAGGACGGAAAAAGCCCTCCCCTGAGGCCTTTTGACTGTGGGACCCTAGTTGTCCTGAGCTGGAACTCCACTTCTGAGGCAGCTCCCTGCCTCTGTGCTTCGTTGTTTTTTTTTTTTTTTTTTTTTTTTTTTTTTTTTAAAGACAATGTCTTCTTGTGTACTTAAGGCTGGTCTTGAACTCTTGAACTCACTATGTAGCCCAAGGTGGCCTTGAACTTGTGGAGATCCTCCTGCCTCAGCCTCCCGAGTGCTGGGTGCTGGGATCACAAGTTGTGTCACCATACCCAGTTTATGCTTCATTCTGGACTTCCTGGTAAAGGCTGAGCAGTTCACACATTCCAGGAAGGCTGTCCTGGTTGGGGTTGAGAGGTGACTCAGTACTTTTGTATGTTCCTGTGTTTTGTTTTTCAAATAGTTCTGCAAGTCAGTTTTGCAATCTTCCCTGCCCCTTCTTCTCCAAAGTGATCTTTTGGGGACAAGTTGGAAGCTGTCCTCCCATCCTTGTCTCCCTGGGCTCTTTGTTTAGTCGAGACTTGATCTCTGCGATTATTCTCTTCCTGCCTGGAGAGGCCAGTGGAAGAATGTTTGGATCGGGGCTTTGTTGGGTAGCAGGGTTGGATTCTTGAAGAGGGAGGGGTGCCAGGTATTTAACATTGATTGTGGGGACATCTCACTGTGTGTGATCTTATGTAGGGAGTGGATCCTGTGGCCTCATCAGATTGACTGGGTTCTTCCCTGGTCACACTGCTTCTCTTTTCTTTCTTTCTTTCTTCTTTTTCTTCCATCCATCCTTCCTTCCTTCCTTTTTTCTTTCCCTCTTTCCTTCTTTCCTTTCTCTCTTTCTTTCTTTCTAGTCTTGCCATATAGTTCAGGCTAGCCTTGAACTCATATGTAGCCCAGGCTGGCCTAGAACTCATGGTGATCCACCTGCCTCAGCTTCTAGAGTGCTGAGATTATATACAGGTGCCACCATGCCTGGCTTTTAATATTTTTTTTTGTCCTGGCCACATACTTTCTCACTTGGTACCTGTAACATCTAGCCTTAGCTACCTCATCTGTAAAGTGAAAATGCTAATGATTCTTCATCAAAGGGCCACTGAAAGAGTCAGTGAGATGTGTGTGAAGGGTGAGTCCTGGTCCCTGGCACATCCCCTGAGTATAAGCTTGGTGTTGTGTCTCCCTGGGACCAACCTGTGGCCTATGATCAGCAAGTGCGTGGGAAGGGTATGTAGACCACCTTCAGAATGGGGGCAGTGCTGCCCTCATATAGGTTGAGGATTGGGGAATTCACTTGTGACAGTATGGAGCTGATGTTTCTGCTTTTGCCCTTCCCTGCCCCAGGTATCTATGTGTGTGCCAAGTGTGGCTATGAGTTGTTCTCTAGCCGCTCGAAGTACGCACACTCGTCTCCATGGCCAGCATTCACGGATACTATCCACACTGACAGTGTGGCCAAATGTCAGGAGCACAACCGACCTGGAGCCCTGAAGGTGGGTGACAGTGGCTGGGGCTAGGGCTCTTCAGACAGTGCCAGAGAGCTATTCGTCACTTCCTTTTTCTGTTCCCTCTCTGCAGGGAAGGTTTTGAGGCTTCTGGTCTTAGCTCTAGAAGCTGCCACACTCATCTTGGGGATAGCCTGGCATCCTGATGGATAATGGGTAGCAGGACAGTATCCCTCACAGGCTCTTTTTTTTTTTTGTCTTTTTGAGACAGGGTCTCACTATGCAGTTCAGGCTGGCCTTGAGCTCACTTTGTATCCCAGGCTGGCCTTGAACTCGCAACAATCCTCCTGCCTCATCCTCTTGAGTGCTGGGATTACAGGTGTGTGCCATCACACCCAGCATAACCTTTTCTTTGGCAGGGAGGTACCAGTAATAGAACTCAGGACTTTGTGTTTGCCAGGCACGCGCTGTGCCGCTGAGCTAGATCCCCAGCCCCCTCACAGGCTCTAGGTTGAAGATTAACCTCATACAGCAGAAGGCCATCACCCTGGCTGTTTCTTCGGACCAGGCGCTCATGTGGTTATCTTATGATCTTTCCAGGTGTCTTGTGGCAGGTGTGGCAACAGGCTGGGCCATGAGTTCCTGAACGATGGCCCCAAGCAGGGACAATCTCGATTCTGAATATTCAGCAGCACGCTGAAGTTTATCCCTAAAGGTGAGCTTGACTTTTGTGGCTAGGGGACAGCCTGGTGTACACTGAGTTGGTCTGGGGTAGGGAAGAGGATGCTGTTGTGCTCACCTGCTTACCACTGCACAGTATCGGGGGCAGCAGATCATGCTGCCCAGGGCCTGCCCAGCCAAAGTCACTTGAAACAGTGGCTGCGAGGCGAGGACAAGGGAGCAAATGTCCTGCTTCCTCTGCCTGGTTGACCATGTATGCCCCCAGAAAGGGGCATCTGAGGGAGAGTATGGCAAAGGGTTTTCTTTTGTGGTCCTCTTTTTCTTTCCCTGAAACTATAATTAGTGCCTGGGGCAGGCAGAGGCTGAGGACCTGGACCATGCGGCTGTGTGTCCCACTGGCTGCAAACTTGGGCTTGCTTATCAGCCTCTGAGCTTCCTCATCTGCACAGTGGCTGTGGTCTCCTTCACAGTCTCCTTCAGAGGGCCAATGGGGACAGCTGCATGTACTGCAGGGCCCCTGGACATGCCACATAGTAACATCTCAGTAAACCTGCACGGCTATTGGCAGCATTCTTACCAGTTTTTTTCTTTTGCAGTACTGAGGATTGAACCAGTGCCTTTGCTGTGAGCATATCTCTGGCCCTTTTTGTACTTTCACTTCTTTTTTTTTGTTTTTTTTTGGTCTTTTTTGAGACAGGGTCTCAGTATACAGTTCAGCCTGGCCTTGAGCTCTCTTTGTAGCCCAGGCTGGTCTTGAACTCACAACGATCCTCCTGCTTCAGCCCAGGCTGGTCTTGAACTCACAACAATCCTCCTGCTTCAGCCTCCTGAATGCTGGGATTACAGGGGTATGCCACCACGCCCAGCTGTATTTTCAATTTTGAGACAGGGTCTTGCTGAGTCACTGAGTTGCCTAGGCTGGGGTCAAACTTGCAATCTTCCTTCCTCAGCTTTCCAGAGTGTTGGGATTATTGGCGTGCACCACCACACTGGGCTTCCTGGCAGTTGGCGCGGGGGAGCTGTTTGCTGTGTGTGTGCATTCTATCAGCTCAGCCTGCTTTGCCCACTGCTCTCCTGCTCACACAGAGCCTCATGCCTTGTCACAGTCTGCTCACAGACCTGGGGAGACATGGCTACCCTGACTCCTCCTCACACTTGGAAGTGTGAATCCCAGCTCTTTTCTGGCTATTCCCAGGACTGTGGCCAGTCCCCTCAATCTCAGTTTTGCACTCTGTAAAATGGGGCTGTCAGCGGCACATGTCACTGACTGCTGTGAGGTTGGGCGAGTGGTTTGCAGGGCCTGCTACCTGATTAGTCTGCAGTGATGTTTTTTACCTTTTGCCATTGTTTGTGCAGAGAAAGGACTTTGGGTTCTCCAGTAAATCTCAGGAAAACATATAGGAGCTAGGACTCTGGACCTGCTGACTTGCTTGATATCTGAAACATGGTTTAACACTCCCTTGCTTTCTCTCTTCTCTCTCCTTTCTTTCAGACAAGGAAACTTCTGCCTCCCAGGGGCACTAGACGGGCAGCCCACACCCACCCCAGATGGATACGCACTGTGACTACATCTTGGCCTTCACACCTTGACAGTGGAACCCTGGACACATAGACGGCATTCTGAACAAGTCTCCTTGGCAAAGCCCTTATTTGCGATAACCCATAACCTTTTGCCAGGATAGGCCCTGGGTGGGTGCATGCTGCCAGTCGTCTTAGCCTTTGGCCCACAGTCTCCAGAAGGTGAGCTCTGGGCTCAGCTCACCTTTGAATGATGTTGTGCCGCTACCTCTGTTTTTTTCACTGTTTTATTTTTTTGTTGTTGTTTGTTTTTTTTCTAGTACTGGGAATCAAACTCACGACCTCACGCTTGCCAGGCAGGCGCTGTGCCGCTGAGCTAAATCCCCAGCCCCTGTTTTTTTCACTTTGTTACCCTGTCCCTGGATATCTGGACCTCCCCTTGTGGGGCCCTGGTCCTCTCCAAAGCTTATGTCCATCTGGGGACTGCCCTGGCCAGCTACTTCAGCCCTGGTCACTACATGATCTGCTCTGACTAAACCCTTCTAGGCCAGTCAGAGTGGTGATGATCTGTGACCTGTCGGGGAGCAAGCCGATGAGCCACACTCAGAACCATTGTCCTCTAGCACAGGAATCTGGAGATGTTTCACAATCTGCAGATGTAGCTTGCTTCACTCAGGCTGGGGAAGCTGCTGTTGCACCATTATCTGATGAACTCAGCAGGGACTATGAAGTCATTCTCTTTAGTTCACACTTGGCAGAGATGTATCTTCCCAAGATTTGGCCACTGTGCCTTACTGTGTCCGTGTCCAGAAGCTCTTGTCATCTAGGAGGGTGGATGATGTTGAAGCCCTCCCCATCTTGAGTACTTTCTGGAGTAATTAGGTGGAAATCAATAAACAGACAAAAGCTGGGCTTGCTGCCCTTTTTTTTTCCCCTTTACTGTTGGGGGTTGAACCCAGGCATTGCACAAGTCAGGCAAGCATTCTGCCACTGAGCTGCACCCCTAGAACCAGTCCACTACCTTTATTAACATCAGGGATGTGAGGACATGAATGTCAGGACTTTGTGCAGTGTTTTTCATTTGCTTTGCAAATATTTGCTGCCCAGTTCTGGACTTGGTACTGAGGATACAGTTGTAAGTCCTCCAAGGTCTCATGGCCACCCTGGGGACACAGACATAGTAAGTTAATATCAGATGATGATAAGGGCGTTGAACAACTATCAGGGTAATGGCGCGAGAACATGTAGAAGAGGGTGACTAGGGGGCGGTCCTTGGCCTGCAAGTAGTCAGAGAGGAGGGTTCTATGGAGGGAGGGGTCATCTCAGCTCAGCAGTGACAGGTGAGAAAATTGAGGAGGAACTTGCCATGCATGCAGTGGACACAGCACATGCAAAGGCCCTGAGACCTCAGCAAATTTGGCCTGCTCCAGGCCCTGAAGAGTGAGGTACAAAGTGACTCATGAGGAGATGTGCTATACTCTATATAAAAACTATGATTTTTTTCCAATTGATATGGACAGAAGTCTGGATAGTATGCATGAAAATGGATATTGGTATGGGATGGTGGGGGAAGCAACATAAACTTGGCTGAGGCTGAATTTATTGATACAGGACCACTAAGCAGAGATTGTAGATTCAGTGTTTCAGCTCCAGGGTTAGAAAGAGCTCTTAACAGTTCTGTTGGTTGGCTAAAGCATAGACTGACAAGCAGCCTACACAACATGCAGCTGAAATGTCAGATCTGCCTCGGTTTAGTGTAGTGAGTGGGAGTCAGAGGCCTAGGGAGAGTGTAAAGTTAGGGTAGATGTGTCATCCATGACCTGCCTGGTAGCCAGGCTTAGTGGTACATCTCTGTAGTCCCAGCACTCTGGGATGTGGAAGCAGGAAGTTTCCAAATTTGAGCCCAGCCTGGGCAGTTTAGCAACTTAGTGAGATCCTGTTGCTGTCTCAGAGAACAAAAAAACAAAACAAAAACAAAAACATCAAAACCTGCTTGGAAGGGCCCAGAAGACATATCTCAAAACACACTTTGAGGCACGTGAGAAATGTTTATGAGGGGACCCCCGGCATCCTTGAAGAGCTCCATAGTTGCTCTACTTTAGTGGGACCCAGAGCCCTTGGATTGGGAGAACTAAATGCAGTAGGAGTCACTGGAACCTGGATGATGAGCCTAGTGGGAAGCGTGGCCAGTACCCCAGTTGCCCCATGCTCATTTACACATCCATGTTAAGGAGCCAGGGAGGGTGTAGAGTGGGGTGTTTAGATAGGGAGGTCCAGTGGGGGCTGGTAAGCAATGTCCTCAGAGGGTATGGGAGACCACATGAGGCCCAGGGAGCCGGGAAATGGATGGCTGTGGGAAAGGTTCATCTGCCAGGCAGCTGGAAGAGGGGATGGCGTTTCCAGCTTTAAAGTCTCATATGGAATAAATTATCCTCACACCATTTCCTCCTTCTGTTGGGTTACACCGCAGCTTCTCGCCCAGCCTGGAGCCAGCTCCTCCTGGAGAAACAGAAAGTCCTTTGTCAACACTGCCCCTCAATCCCTACTTGTACCCTATTCTTTGCCAGGTGGAGCATCTGGGCACATCCTTGGAGACCAGGGTTGGGTGTTCTGCTAGCCACCAGAGCTGGTGGGTAGGTGGGGTGGGTGCCCTGGAGCTGGGGGAAGAATAGCGAAAGATGAGAGCTCTGTCCAGCTCAGATGGTCGTCAGTGAACGCAGAATGTGAGCTGACAAAGGGTTGGACTTTCAGTCACTTCCTATTTTTCTTTCCCTGGGTACAAGTGGGAGAGAGCCCTGACCTTGATGGGTTGTAGCAGGGGGCTCAGGTCCCAGGGAAGGCAGGCGAGAGGGAATGTCCGGAAGGATTGGCGAAAATCACCGACAAGCTAGACTGGGCCATCGTGTTCACCCCTATACCTAAGAAGCCCACCTCGGGAAAGGAGAACAGGGTGACCGGCAGGCGGCGCAGTAGCTCCGTGCGCCACAGGGGGTCGGGATAAGCTGCGGTTCCACAAGAGGCCGAAAGAGGCACTGGCTATAGCTCTGACAAAGCGGATTGCTGAGCCTAGCTCCACCTTGGGAACTCTGGGTGATCCGAGCAAGTCCGTAACTCGGCACCATCTGCCGACCTACCAGCGTCCAGGTCTCTGGCTGAGGCTTGCTTGCGTCCGTGGGTGCGAGCCCGCTGGGGGCGGGGGGAGACCAACCTGCCGGGCTTCATGAAGGGACCTATGCCAAGGTGGGCAGTGGAGGCCTCATGCCCCTTCCTGAGTCATCCGAGTGGGATAGGCTTGAGGGTGAGGAGAGAAAAAGGCGGTAGGAACAGTTGTTGAGGTGTGGGGCGCGGATGCAAGCAGGACACTCCAGCCCCTGGCCAGCCAACTGGATGGGACTCCGTGTGCCCATGCCCTCTTCTGCTACCAACCTACAGCCCTTCCACTGCCACCTGGCCCGCCCCTTTCCTTTGCCCACCTCTCACAGCCCAGAGGACGCTTTGCTGGCCATCCATCCATCGATCTTTGCAAACAGTAATCAGAGCATGGGTATCGAACTCAGGGCCTTCACACTGAGCTACATCTTCAGCAACCCCAACCCCCAATTTTAGAGACCAGGTTTTCCTGAGTCCCTAAGTTTCCCAGGCTGGGTCTCCCTCAGCTTGGGATCCTCCTGCCTCAGCCTCCCAGTGCAAGGATTATAGGCATGTACCACCACGCCCAGGTGCTCTGGGTTTTAAAGAACCTGGTAGCTGCATTGCAAGAGAGGGTCAGAGACACTAAGATGAGAACTGGCAGGCTGGGTGCCAGGGCCCTGTAGGGTCAGCTGTTGGCCTCCACACTCAGTCCAGGAATGTGGTTCTTTGCTGGATCCTGGAACTCTGGGCAGGGAGTCTCTAGTGTTTGCCTGAGGGGAGACTTGTGTAAGGAAAGGGGGATGGAATCACTCTTTGCGAAGGGGGAGGCGTTAAGTTTGAAGGTTCAGAAGCTCAGGAAGTGCCAGGAGGGATGGGGCCTGTTGACAAGTTTTTAAAATTTATTTTTTACTTTTTTAAGACAAGGTCTTGCTATGCCAGGCTGGCCTTTAATTCATTGTGTAGCCTATACTGGCCTCAACACTGCAGGAATCCTTCTGCCTCAGCCTCCTGAGTGCTGGGATTATAGGTGTATGTATACATGCTCACCATGCTCAGCTGAAAATTTGAAGTCCTTGTGCCATGATGCTCTGCAGTGAGCTTTGGGCTCTGGGTCTTCCTGAGCACTGAGCCAAACCAAACTGGCCACATGCTGGGGTGGAGTGGCCTTCTGTGGGGTCCTGCCCATTGGCCAGGTTGGACTTACTCTTCAGAATGAGCTCACTGGCTCCAGTGCTGGTGTGTGTGGAAATTCAAGCTTGGGGCTTTACACCCTAGTGGAAGGTGATGGGGACCTGGTTGCAGGCTTTTAGACTCTTCCACCTCTGCCCACGCATTTATGGGAACATGTGCTCCTGTGCTGTCTTTGGAGCATGGGGTCCTGATGTTGGTGATATGTTCCTGGCCACTTTCCAGGCCATGAGGTTCCTTGCCAGTGCATGGCTGCACAGACCTTGCCAAAGAGTCCCAGAACCTGATGTGGGGCCCGATGCATGATGCCCATCCCTTGGCATGGTGCTGAAGTGTGTCTGTGCCCCAGACACCTGGGGCTTGCGGCTCTGAAACTGGAGGAGGTGGGGACAGGGTGGAGCAAGAGAAGTCTGTTTCTGTGGGTCCCTCCTCTAGTTCTCCCTTTGGACCTCCCCTCTCTAGAACATAGGCTGTTATCAGCCCTTCTGTCCTCAGAGCCACACTACCAATCTGGAAGAAGGGTCACTACTATCAAACGAGCTGGCCTAGGCCAGTGCACAAGAAGCAATGTGCTGGGCTGGTTATGTGTCCTGGGAACCTGCCTCTCTCTGTCTGTACTGGTTCCTCCAGGAGACCAGGGGAAAGCAGTGTGCGTGTGTGTGTTGGGGGACAGAGTGGGGACCAGGCCACGCCTCTGCAGAGAAGGTCTGGCTCCTTCTGGTAGCCCTGTGGGTCTGTGAGTGGGCGTGGCTGCTGAGAAGGGGAAGATCTCATTCCTGCCTACTCCTGTGTGTGAGAACTATTTCTCGTCTCCCTCTGACAAGAATCTGCCAGGAATTCATTCTTTCTTTTTCTTTCTTTCTTTCTTTCTTTCTTTCTTTCTTTCTTTCTTTCTTTCTTTCTTTCTTTCTTCTTTCTTTCTTTCGTCTTTTTTTGAGACAGGGTCTCGCTATGCAGTTCAAGCTGGCCTTGAGCTCACTTTTTAGCCCAGGGTGGTCTTGAACTCACAACGATCCTCCTGCTTCAGCCTCCTCAGTGCTGGGATTACAGGCGTGCATCACCATGCCCAGCCCTGCTAGGGATTCTTGTCTGCCTTGGCAATCTCTGGCCAGCCTCATGACCCTTCTTTTCTTTGCCAGTGTCCCTGAGTCACCAGGAGGAAGAGAGGCTAGGGAAGGCTTTCCCCTCTAGCCTTGTCCCCAAGGAAAGCAGGTTCCCCAGGGCGAGCGCAGCTCTGGGGGCACATGTTCTTATGCTGTCTTCACTGTCACATGTCCTCTGCCTCCTTGTCCCCAGGAGCCAGGCACTTGGGGAGGTAGGGGCTGGTATTACCTTTGTTTAATAAAGTAGGAGAGGGAGGGCCAGAAGGCTGCAGAGGTCATCTACTGGAAGGGGACTGAGATGGCCCCTAGAGCCCTAGCTGTTTGCATTGTCCTCTCCCCAATGATAGCTCCTGTCCCTCTTCACTCCTGAGGGCTGTAGGCTCTGGGAGTGAGTGCAATGGAGGTAGGCCTCTCTTGGGGCCCCTCTCTGGTAGGGAACCACATCCTTTATGTGCTCGGGCAAATCTGGCATCCAAAGTGGAAAAACCCCACATAAATCAAGGACAGCTGGGCCAGCCCTCCAGCCACAGCACCCCCATCTGGTTCTGCAGACGTGCAGGGCTGGGTCTGGGGGGTAAAGAAGGGTGTGGCTCCGAGGGAGGGAGTTCCTGGAGCTCCTGCGTGTGTGATCTCCCCTCCGTTACTGTCCCCCGAGGAGGGAGGATCTGCACAGTATTGGTAATCACTTTCTGGAGTGGGGCTGCTGCTGTGGGGGCCTTGGTTGGGGGGCCCGCCCTGGGGTGGGGACAGACTGGGACAGAGGCAGAGTGGTGTACCCAGACTCAGACGTACCACTCAGACATTCACAAGCGCTCACAATGCTTAGGTGTGAAGCCACTGCCGGGGTCGAGGCTAAGCCCGTTCCTACCCTTGTCCAGCCCCGCGGGGAGGTGGAGACAGACAGGAATCAAAGTCACCTTTGAACCGGGCACAGTGGCACAGGCCTGTAATCCCAGCACTCTGGGAAGCTGAGGCAGAGAAACACAAGTTTGAGCCCAGCCTGGGCAACTTAGTAACACCCTGTCTCAAAAAAAGAAAAGAAAAAAAGGGCTGGGATGTAGCCCAGTGTAAAGGCCAGTACTATAAGAAAAAAAAAAAAAAATCACCAACAAAGAAATGATTATAGTTGTGAAGGGAGCACAGGCATAGTGCAAATCTGTGAGGCCAGCCTGGTCCTCCCTCCCACCATCACCTTGCTCTCCAGAAGGCCCTCCCCAAACTTCCCCCGTCCCTCTCTGGCCTGGCAGCCTGAGCAGCTCAACCTCTCTCCTCTCCCAAGTCTTCCCTCCTCCCTACCCAACTCCCCTAATACTGGATATCTTGGTGTCTGGGGGCCAGGTCAAGAGAGATGGATAGATCCACCTTTTTTGTTTGTTTGTTGTTTGTTTTTTCTTTTTGAGACAGGGTCTCGCTATGCAGTTCATGCTGGCCTTGAGCTGACTTTTAGCCCAGGCTGGTTTTGAACTTGCAGTAACCCTTCTGCCTCAGCCTCTTGAGTGCTGGGATTACAGGTGTGTACTACCATGCCCAGCCTTAAATTCACCCTTTGCCTGGCAGCCTTGCTCCAACTGGGGGTCTAGATGAGCTCCGAGAGGGGCCCTGTGTCTTTTTTTTTTTTTTTTTTTGTACTGGGAAGCGAACTCAGGACCATGCACTTGCTAGGCTGGTGCTTGTGCCCCTAAGCTATATCCCCAGCCTAGGGGCCCTGTATCTTTAAGGGTGTTTAAGGGAGATTGCTGGGTAGAAGAAACCTGCTGATTTCCATTTTGGGGCAGTGGAGATACAACCAGAGAACAGACACAAGTGACCCTCCAAAGGCTGTGTTCCTTAGAAAGGGAAGTGCACTGAGCTTAGGTCACAGAGGAAGGAACCACTAGTGTGTGGGGGCTGGCCCTGACAGCAAGGCAAGGCAAGAGCAGAGTGGGGGAGCTACTCAGATGTCCTGGGGTGGAGGGAGGAAAGTAACCATGTGTGTGAGGAACATGGAATAAATGGGATAAATAAATAAATTTTGAAATGACCAAATTTCACCTTCAAAGAGATGCTTTAAATTAAACACAGTCTTAGTAAGACCCTGGAATTCCATTCTGAGGCATATACCTAAGAGGAATGAAACAAGTCCACACAAAACCTTGCACATTATAGGTGTGTGGCACACACCTATAATCCCAGCACTTGGAGGCTGAGGCAGAAAGATTCCACATTTGAGTCCACCTTGGGCAATTTAGGAAGTTGGATTTTGGCCGGAACTATATAGCAAGACCCTGGCTCAAAACACCACAAACAAAAAACCAACCTCCCCCAGCCAAAAACACAACATTGTATGTGAACATTCACAGCGGTATTATTCATTATAACTGAAAAGTGGGATTGACCCAAATGGTCTTCAATGGAGAAATAGATAAACAAAGTGTAGTCCGTCATACCAAGGAACAGCACTGAGCCACAGCAAGGAGCAAAGCCCTGACATCTGCTGCAACACAGAAGAACCTGGAAAACACTGCTTCAGTGACAGAAGCCAGTCACAAAAGGATAGCCACTGTATGACCCCATTTCTGTGAAATGTCCAGAACAGGCAAATCCATAGGGCAGAAAGCACATTGATAATTGCCAAGGCCTTTGAGGGGAGGGAGAATAGGGAGCGACTGCTGGTGGGTGTCTGGTTTGCTTTAGGGGTGATGGGGAAATAGTTTCAAGCCGATAATCTTTGGTAGTGTTAGAATTGCTTCAGGCTCAGGTGGGGTCCTGCCCCTCATCCTCACTTTGGGCTTGTACAGTTGATGTTCTAAAAGTGGCTGTAGCTGTTATTGTACAATGTTGTGAATATACCAAGAACCAGAGTTCTAAATTGCGTGGCGTGTGGATTGCACTTCAATAAAGCTGTTATCAAAAAGGCTCTTCAGTCAGGATTGAATGCTCCCTTCTACAAAGAAAGAACTGGGCTTAGAGTTGGCCAGAGACTGAGGCCACATGGCTAGAGGAAGATGGGCTGGGGCCATCCTCAGGCTGGACTCTATGCTCCTATCCCCTTGGGATGAGTGCAAGGTGACCTCTCCTGCAGCAAAGATTTTATCTTAACATTTCCTCTGCCTGGAATGCTCTTCTCCCTCTCCTCACTTGGCTAGCACCTCCAGAAAACCTCCACTGACCTCTTCCTCTCTCATATCTTTCCTCTAACCTGCATTTATTGAGTGTCTACTGGGTGCCAGGATCTGGGTTAGGTGCTGGAGATTCCTTGGTGACACAGACTCCAGGTTGTCATCCTGGGCATTCCCAGATTTGCACCCACCCTCACCAGAGAGCCAGACAGAGGTGGGAAGGAGATCAATTTCCTAACTTTGCAGGTTGACTCCCATCTGGACCTCCATCCCTCTATCTCTGATCAATGCCTCCTAGACAGTCCTTGGCCCTCAGCGGCTGAGGGACTGAGGCACAGGTATACAGCAGGGTGAAGGGCAGAACCAAGGCCAGGCAGTGGAAAGACTAGTCAGCTCAGGGGCAGAGGTGGAGGGTCACCAGGGAATGAATGCAGGAATTTGGAGTCCTGAGCCGTGGCTGCTCAGGCTGTACAGGGTGGGCCTTCCCCAGCAGGGCTTTGAGGAGAACTAGCCCATCTGGAACAATCCCATGTTAAGCTAGACCCAAAGAAGAACTTCCTGGGACCCTGCACGTGCCAGCATGCTCATCAGACAGTGCTGTGCCAACAACCCGCCCACATGGGTGCTGGCCGAGGCATGCCCTGGCAAGCAGGTGCAGTTCTGGTGTTTAGGATTTGGGGGCCCGTTCAGTGGTCTTCACTTCATCGGTCCTGTGTGGCCCCCTCCTGCCAGGGATACCTCTAGTGGGAGCTCTGGAAATGTCTGGGCCATGGAGGCCCTTTGTTCCTCAGTGGTCACTGGGCCTGCTGGGATTTGTCCAGAGGCCATTAGTTCCAAGATGGCTCATTAATGAGCAGAACCCAGGACAGAAAGAGGCTGGGCATCTGCGGAGGGCTGCTACTAAGCCTGTCGCCATGAACGTCGAGGCAGAGGCAGACAGCGGCCCAAGCACAAACCCCAGGGATGGACAAACAGCTCATCCTCTCTGAACTTCGCCCCTCTCCTCCACTTTCTTTGCTGGCTGTACAGGGCTGGGGGGGTGTCAAATCAGGGGGTGGGAAGCCCCTGTGGCATCAGGTGTCCAGCAGATGCCATAGCTGTGAGAGATCCCACAGTCGCTGCCCTGACAGCACCTGGGCACACACCTTTCTGAATCCTTCACAACTCCAGGGGGAGCCTCTTTGCCATCTTCCCACAGAGCTTACTGCATTCCAAGAGATCGCCAGGTAACCTAGCCTGGGCATGTGAGGTGTGGAACGGGTCAGGAGGTGAATCTGACTTTGGTCCCCTGGCGCCGGGGAGGGCGGCTCTGGGCCCCGAGCCAGGCCGGTCTGCTGAACTCTAAAGCGCTACCCAGACATCCACTAGCTCTCTCCCAGAGGCAGGGCCCTGACCCTGCAGGATGGCTAGGCTGACTGTCCGCTGGGAGTCCAAGGCGCGTATCGAAGTCGCCCGACAGGGAGCACTCTGCGTACTAGGCTGCCGGCCTGGCCTCATTCTCCTGGGTCTGCGAGCTTTTCTGGCCCACCTGGCTCAGCGCTGAGGCTCCCCACGAGAGAGCGCAGGCTCGGCAGGCGCCCCTGTCCCGAAGGCGTGTGTGTGGGTGAGCCTTCTACAGCAAGTTGTGGGTAGGCGCGCAGCCCTCCCACCACCTCGAGTCCTTGCTCGCCTCCGCGTCTCCAGAGCGGGAGTGAAGACGCGCCGCCGAGAGAACCGCAGCCCAGGGTCTTGCAGCTGGAGCGCCAGCTGTCCGCGGGTGCCCGCGAATCCGTATTGGGCCGGGACGCCCCTCCCCCGCTTCGGGCCCGCCCCGCCCCCGCCCGCTGCCTAGGCGCCCGGCGGAGGGCGCGGAGCAGAAGCCCGGCGTCCGCGGGTTGAGTGGGGCGCCCGCAGGGATGTGCGCCCTTGTGCGGCCCTCGTCCCCGGGCCCGGGCGCGGTGCGACTCCATGGCAGATAGCGGAGGCCTGGGCACCGGGGCCGGACCCGGGGCAGCACTCGGGGCGCTCCGCGCGCCCCTGGCGCTCCTGGTGCTGGGACTTGGCGCCTACTGCCTCTCCGCCCTTCCGGGACGCTGCCCGCCGGTCGCCCGCGTCCCCACTTCGCCCCCGGCTCCGGCCCAGCTGCCCGGTGCGCACCGCCTGACCTTGGCCAGCGGCCCCGGCCGCCGGCGCTTCCCGCAGGCACTCATCGTGGGAGTGAAGAAGGGCGGCACGCGAGCGCTGCTGGAGTTCCTGCGGCTGCACCCCGACGTCCGCGCGCTTGGCTCGGAGCCCCACTTCTTCGACAGGTGTTATGAGCGCGGCCTCTCCTGGTACAGGTGAGCGCTCTGCCGCCCGTGTGCCCCTTTTCGGCTTCCGCGCGAACTCAAGTGGTGGGATCTAGCGGGGAGGGAGTCCCGAGCTCTGGAACTGAGGCCAGACTGTGCAGGGCGTTAGGCGGGATCTCAGACACTGGGCCCCCAAAGCAAAGGTGGTACTGGCCGGGGGCCCCAGGAACTTTGGGAACTCCAGGAAAAGCCTGTTTTGGTCTACTGAGGAACTTGGCAAGATTGAGAGGAAGTTGTGATTCCAGCCGGGAATAGTTTCTTTCTTTCTTTCTTTCTTTCTTTCTTTCTTTCTTTCTTTCTTTCTTTCTTTCTTTCTTTCTTTCTTTCTTTCTTTCTTTCTTTTTGGTCTTTTTGACACAGGGTGGCCTTGAGTTCACTTTGTAGCCCAGGCTGGCCTCGAACTCGCAACGATCGTCCTGCCTCAGCCTCCCAAGTGCTGGGATCACAGGCGTGTGCCACCACGCCCAGCTAAGCCGGGAAATAGTTTCAAGCCGATGATATATATTATTTGGTAGTGTTGGAATTGCTTCAGGCTCAGGTGGGTCCTGCCCCTCATCCTCACTTTGGACTTGTATGGTTGATCATCTGACTTGTGCCTAGTTACATTAGGGAGGAGCATCCGGGTTTCCTGCAGGCTCCTAGAAAAGTGTCCTCTCACCCCATAACCCCCGCCTTCCTCCTGGGACGCCTGTTTGAATGCTGGAGTCTGAGAAAATCTGGTCTGAGCTTAGAAAGGAGCTCTGGCCGTCATTGCGTGCCCAGGCTTGGGAATAAGATCTAGCCACTTGCACAGGCTCTGTGGCCGCCCTGTGCCCCACCCAGGAGGGACCAGGGGTGTGGCAGTAATGTGAGGAGCACCCTGCCCCAGCCAAGCAGCCTGCGCTGATGGATAGTCAAATACCAGCCCCTCTCTGCTGAGCTGGTCACTGAGGCTGAGCCAGGCCCTGCCCCCTGCCGCTAAGTTGGGATTGCAGGTGTGCACCACCTTACCTGGCTAAGATCCAGGCCCTTGACCCCCTTCCCACCAACGCATCAGTTTCTCTGATCCACCCTCCCCTAATTGTTAACTTTGCCTTTTGGTTAAGAAGACTGGGGGCTCAGCCGAGCGTGGTGGCACACACGTGTAATCCCAGCATTTGGGAGGCTGAGGCAGGAGGAGTTTGAGACCAGCGTGGGCTACAAAGTGAGCTCAAGGCCACCCTGAACTGCATAGCTAGACCCTGTCTCAAAAAGACAACAACAACAACAAAAAAAAAAAAAAAAAAAGGAGACTGGGGGCTCTGAAGGGAGAATGGGGGAATCTGGCTCCTGAACTCTGAAGGGTTAGCACTGCGTGAATGCTAGAGAAACGGCATGGTGGGGAAAATTGAGTCTGTCGTGGGGCATCCTTCCAGCTCAGGCTCCTAGAAGAGACCACTGGCCACTCTGAGTGGAGAGGGGGAGGCACCAAAGGAGGGAGAGAAGAGAGAGTCAAGGAGAAATGCTTTATGGAGTACAAACTTCAGAGCTTGTGCACATGATCTGTGCTCTGTAGGAGCAGCTGAGGGGAAAGGGGATGAGTTTAGTGCTGAAAGTTTCTCAAGGTACCAGGATTCTGAGGCTCTCGAGGGCCACTCTGGGCCCTTGCTTCTCTGGGAAAGGCTCTAGGGTGGGTGAGGGGCCCAAGAGGCCCATACTGGGGCAGATCCTCAGCCCTGGGGAGGGAATCTTAGAGACACTGACATGCCCAGGACAGGAGTGGAGGGTGTTCCAGACAGTGCAACCCTGCTGAGAGGACACTGTTCCACAACCCAGTGGGTTGTGACCCGCCTCGTTCCAGGGAGTGACCTTGATCCTGACCATCTTCTGCCCTCTGTAGGTAGGTTCTATGTTACCCTTAGCTCAATCTTCCCCCCTCCCCAACCTGCTAGTTTATCTCTCAGGCTCTTGAAGGTACGTCATCTTGGGCACTGTGGCCCCAAGTACCCTCCAATTCAATATGTGTTCACCTATTCACTCATCATGGAGCACTCACTATTTGCTGGGTACTAGGGTCAAACAAAACCCCAGTGTCTTGATCTGGAAGGATTGCTCCATCTTGGGTCAGGTGGGGACTCAGCTTTGACCATAATATTCTAGAAAAGCAAGAAGAAGCCAGATGTGGTGGCACATGCCTGTAATCCCAGCACTTGGGAGGATGAGGCAGGAGGAAAGCTGTGAGTTCAAGGCCAACCTGAATCACATTAACATCTTTGTGGTTTTTTTTTTTTTTTTTTTTTGTTGTTGTTGGTGTTGATACTGGGAATCGAACTCAGGACCTTGCACTCTCCTGGCAGATGCTGTGCCGCTGAGCTGTATCCCTGGTCCCTGAACCACATAGTGAGACCCTGACTGCAATAAATAAATAAATAAAATAAAGGAAGAGGAGATGAGGAGGTGTGGGTATGGAAACCCCCTTAGTTCCTCAACACTAGAAACTAAGAGCAGTGAGTGTAGGGAGCAGGTTTGTACATACAGGGGGCTGTATGTGCTTCTGTGTCCTTCCTCCCCCAGTCTCCCCACAGCACTTTCTAGTACTGGAATAGAAACAATAACTGGTTTTCCCCAGGTTTTAGGCCTTGCTGGACCGGGCCCAGGCAGGGTATAGGACATGGAGGTGAAGGTCCTGAGAAGAGGGAGCGAGAGCGGCCCAGGGCTGGATGGAAGCCGCAGGGAAATGCAGACCAGATGAGGTGGCTCAGCGGGGAGGGTCCTTGGAACAACTTGTCAGATGTTTGCTGTGTGGGGTCAGAGTTCCGTTCTGCTTATCCTCTCCCTGGTCTCTGCCACCCCCAAAAGTGCCTGTCGTCACTCTCCAAGCTCAGCTGGGACAGGCTCCTGAAGTCTGAGGAGGGTAAGTAATTGATCCCAAAGATCTCAGAGCAGGCTTATGGTAACTGTGAGCCCAGGAAGTCCTGAGCCCCCTGTGTATTCCATCCTTTTCTTCAGCAGCGTGTCGGGAAAGGCCTTCTCCTTTGGAGCTGCTCTGTTTTTCTGACTTCTTAGAGAGAAAGACTGGGGTTAGGGGTAACATCAGGGCTCCCAGAAAAGGATGGTGTTGGGTACATTCAGAATCAGGCTTTCAGTGAGGGAGGGAAAGAGAGTGGGGGTCAGGACAAGTCTAACATTGGAGGGGAGGTGTCTGGGAGCCCTGGGACTCCTTTCTCCCGGGAAGATGAAGGAAGGAGTGATGCGTTCTGCTGAGGCCTGGTGTACACCTCTTCCAACACCAGCATCAGCTTCTCTAGGTCTCAGCGGCAAGGTCCAGTGCGGGGAGACTCTTCTTCTTTTATGACTTCCCTCAGGGAAAGGGAGGCCTCCTGAGCTGGCTAGCCCTGCCAACTACAGCCCTGGCCCATAGATCTTGACCGTCTAGGGTCTCTTTGAACTTTCCCCAAGGACAGCTGAGTGTTGTCCCCACTGGATCCCCTGTGCTTGAGGTAGGGAATGGAGGACAGAGGTCCTGGGAGCAGAAGCCACCCAGATAGCCCCTGCCAGCAGGACTGGAAAGAAGGCTAAGTAAGAGTCAGTGGCCACCTTCAGTTCCTTTTGTCTTCTCTGAGCCTCAATGTGCCTGCCTATCAAATGGGACAGTGGGTGGGGTGGAGATTGGTTCTGGCTCATTAGGTCACCAAGATGGAGGAAGCCGACTTAAGCTCTGTGACTTCTGAAGATCAGCTCTGCCCTGGGCCTTGATCTGTAAGGTGGGGAGATTCCATTCCCTGCCACCTACCCCATCTTGCTTTGACCAGAGGTGGTGCTGGGAATTCTGGCATTCTCAGCTTTCTCTCTTGCCTGATGGGACACATGCATACATCTACCTGTCTCACCACCAGCAACCCCCAATCTGATTGTGCCAGCATGGGGGACTGTGCACCTGTGTCTGGCCTGAATTTCCTTGGGGAATCTGAGCAGGGAGAGTGGATCAGTTAGGCTGGCTGAGACCTGGACTTGTCACCTCCTGGCTGGGTCAGTCCCGGGCCTGTCAGTGGGGTCAGGGAGTACCTTCCTCAGATGATGGGAGCAAGGCTGGGCAGGACTGGGCATGGCTGGGCATGGCTGAGCAGAGACATCTCCTCCCTAGCACAGGCCACACAGTCTCTGCCTCTGTTGACCTAGTTCCCAGCGGTCCCTTGGATCTGTTTGCTCAGCTGCCTCACCATGCCCGACCTCACCCTGTACTACCTGGTTGGCAGGTACTGCCTCAAGACATCATGAGTTGTGCCTGGGCCTGTCCTGCTGGGCACTCTGGATGGGCTTCCCCCGGTTTGGGGCACTCAGGGGGCTGTGGTCAGCCAGCTCCTTCTAGACCTTGGATTGGGCTGGGACCTTCCTCCCCCATGTTAGAATGAGGGTAGTTTTAGAATTGCCGTGTCCTCAGCCTGGCCTTGGAAGCATAGGGCCTTGGGATAGGTCCCCAGGAGGATCATAGCTATACCACTAATTTTCTCAAATGTGCTGGGCAACGAGGGTGGCTCTTAGCAGTCTGAGTTGGGCCCAGGTGGATGAGAATTAGCAGGGCTGTAATTGAAGGTGGGGAAAGAGATGTAATTAAATTAAAGGGAGGGAAGGAAAGAGGGAGAATCTTACTCTTTGTTGGCAACATTTGTCAATAACAATAATTGATGCCCTAGTTCAGGGGATGCTGTCGGTCTCTGAGTGAAAAGGGTGACCTAGAGTGATCTATAGTGCAGAGGCCTGCCAGGTGACAAGTCCAAGCTGACTGGTCTTCGGATATTTGGTCTGGGGAGAGACAGCAAGGTCAAAGTTGAGGGCACAGCAGCTCCAGGAAGGGTAGGCCTGGTAGTCAGAGGTTGCTGGGACTCAAAGGAGCAGGCCCTTGGGGAAAGGGGTCACAGGGCTTGTACAGAGAACACAAGTGGCTGGTGAAAAGTTCCCTGGTTACCTCTGTCCCCAGCGACTGTCACCCCATTTTTCCATGGGTAGCATAAATGGGGCCAACCTCGTAGGCCGGCCTGTGCTGCGCTGGCACCTCCTGGCTCATATCTCAGGCTGCCTGTCTCCTAGGATGTTCATCCCAGCACTTAGGAAGAAGAACCTGAGCGGGAGGACAGCTGGCCCACTTTAGGGGTCTGGGGCTTTCCTGGAGGAGGAGGGTCTAGTACCAGGTCTAGTGTGACAGGGGTCACTCCATAGAAGTGCTTACTCAAGAACAGCAGCCTGCTGGGGATATAGCTCAGCGACACAAGCGCCTGCCTGGCAAGCATGAGGTCCTGAGTTCAATTCCCGGTACAAAAAAAAAAAAAAAAAAGAATGGTAGCCACTCAGTCTACTCCTCCCATTGCCCCCAGGAGCCTGATGCCACGTACCCTGGATGGGCAGATCACCATGGAGAAGACACCCAGCTACTTTGTGACGCAGGAAGCTCCTCGTCGAATTCATAGCATGTCCCCAGACACGAAGCTGATTGTTGTGGTACGGAACCCGGTGACCCGGGCCATCTCTGACTATGCCCAGACACTTTCCAAGACCCCAGGACTGCCCAGCTTCCGTGCCCTGGCCTTCCGCCATGGTCAGGGCCCTGTGAACACAGCCTGGAGTGCTGTGCGTATCGGTCTGTATGCCCAGCACCTGGACAACTGGCTGCGCTACTTCCCTCTGTCCCACTTCCTGTTTGTTAGTGGTGAGCGGCTGGTCAGTGACCCAGCTGGAGAGGTTGGCCGGGTACAGGACTTCCTGGGCCTCAAACGGGTTGTCACGGACAAGCACTTCTACTTCAATGCCACCAAGGGCTTCCCCTGCCTCAAGAAGGCCCAGGGAAGCAGCCGTCCCCGCTGCTTGGGCAAATCCAAAGGCAGGCGCCACCCCCGCGTGCCCCAGGCGGTGGTCCAGCGCCTGCAGGACTTTTACAGGCCTTTCAATCGCAAGTTCTACCAGATGACTGGCCAGGACTTTGGCTGGGACTAAACAAGGCCCAGCTAGCCCTGCCCTGGATGCTTGGAACCTTAATTTATGTCTGCCCACTGGCCAGAGAAGCTTCCCCACGCATGCTCTGGAGAAAAAATATTTAAGAAATAAAGTCTGGGGGCTGGGGATTTAGCTCAGCGGCAAGGCGCCTGCCTGGCAAGTGCAAGTCATGAGTTCGATTTTCCGGTACTGGGAAACAAACAAACAAACAAACCCCAAAGAAATAAAGCTGGATCCACATTCTTCCACTTGACCTTGAGATTTGGGTGGAAGTGATACTGTACCAATTAACTCTGTGCCAAACCCATTCCTGACATGTCCTCAGAGGTGGGCCCTGCACTTGGTCACATGGCACAGATGAGCATGAGAGACTCAGAGAGACTTAGGGCCTGTCTCGTGACACACAGCCTAGTTCTGGTGACTCTGGGGTCTGTCCTCCACCTCTTCTCAGCCCTGGGAGGTTGGGCAGGGTGGTCGCCTATCCAGGACAGGTAAAAAGGGCCAGAGGTTGCTCCTGAGTGGTGCAGCAGGATTAAAGTCGGGTCTGGCCAGTTGTGTATGCTGCACCTAGAACCTCAGTGGATCCCGTGTACTGGTGCCTAGTGGGTGCTGTTTCCTACAGGCCTTGTAGAACAGTGCTTGGCAGGTGACTTGGTGTGTGTGGGATAGTGCTTCCAACAGCCTGCAAGCTATTCTGAGCAGCCTAGCCCTCTCTGCCAGGGCAAGCTCACTCCCAATATCCACCTACACATGACCTCACTCCTGGGCCGAGCCCACCAAGCAACACACCCCTTCCTCCTGGCCCTCACTGTCTCAGCCGGGTCTGCTGCCTTTTTCTTGTATCCTTTCCCAGGGCAGGGTGGGAAAGATCCCATCTGCATCCCAGCTGCCCATTCTTAATGAAATCAGGCCATACTTGGGCAGGTTGGGGAGCCCATCTACCCCTCTCCTCTAAACATGAGGGCCCCACCAGTAATAGTTCTCACCTGCTTCTGGCCACTGCTGTCTACCAGGTGCCCACCAGCTTCCCTGACAATGACCTCTGAGGCTGGTTGGGCCCAGGCCCTGTACATCTGCCCTGTCTCAGGCCTGCTATAGGGCCTGGCCATAGTCTCTGTATGTACCCTGGGCAGCTCCTTGGATTTCATAACCTGACTTTGCCCCTGATGTGGCCCTTTTACCTGTGAGCTGATTGGAGCCACTCCGTGTCCTGGGACCCAGGAACACAGGCAGTGAGGGAGGATTTTTTTTTTGGTGCTGGGAATTGAATTCAGGACCTCACGCTTGCCAGGCAGGCACTGCATTGCTGAGCTATATCCCCAGCTCAAGGGAGGCTTTGTAGAGGATGAGGGAAGCCTGTCAGCCGTGGCCGCTCCCTGTCTGACTGTCAAGCTTCACTGGGAACCAGTGCTCCCTCCAGTCACCATGTCTTCTCCTTGTCACATGATCCCATCTGTGGTGTGGCCATGGGGTCAGTTAATGTCAGTGTCACAGAAGAGACTCAGTGGGAGGGGGAAGCACATGTGAGGTTGTTTATTTCTGGTTGTCAGGGTCCTGACCCCGCTTCTGCTAGTTTCTCTGCCCAGCAGACACTCTTGCCTGGAGCTGCTTTTTGCGGCTGGCAGTGTCCTTAGGCCTCTCCATCCCAGGCCAGGCCAGTGGCAGGGCTGGGAGCTGGTTACAGATGCCTCTCCCTGTACCCACTGAATAGTGCAGTGTCCACACAGTGGGCAGATGTGGGGCCCAGAATGCACAGCTTTTTCCCTGACTCTGACCTCTGTCATGCGTGAGGGGAAAGGGCTGGCTTAATTTACGGTATCCAGGTGAGGAGGGAACAGGTTCCCTTCAAGGACCTTGCTAGCTAGTGAGTGCGGGATTTGATGACTTGTCCATTCCCTGCACCGAGGGCAGGAGAGAAGACAGGACAGCCCTGGTGCCTGGCCCAGTTCCTAACTCAGTCCATGTATATCTCTTTCTCCCTGGACATATCCTACTTGTGCCTGGACAGTCTCAGGGCCCATACTGTCGCCTGGCCCCGCTTTTGTTCTACAGTGAGCTCTTTGAATGACAGCCAGAGGGATGTCTTCAGACTAAGGCAGATCCCAGCCCCACCCCATTGTTTCTAGGATGAAGACCAGATGCCTGCCTGCAGCTGTTAATGGCCTCCAGGGCTCGTCCTATCCTGCCTGGTCCCTTCAGCCCCACGTTCCCACCAGCTCCTACCTGCCGTCCCCTTTCCAATCTCACTGACTCCCTGCAGAAGGCGCAGATGGAGGCAGTGGCACTCTTGAGCAGAGCAGCTGTGCTCCTGCATTTAGAGTTCCATTTTGAGCCCCTTGAGGTGACCCATTTTCCCTCTCCTGGAACCCTCCTGGTGCAGAGCTTTGGGGACGTTGGCCTCTTTGGGCCCAGGCCTCATGGGGCACATGCTGGAGGCAGCTGGGAGGATGGGTAGGTTCTACTGACTCCACCCAGTGGAAGCTCAGCCCTGAGGGCCACCACCCTGCGTGAGGTGCCCAGCTGTGCCTGAGAACACACTGCAGGCAGATGTAATGGGTCCTGGGGCTGTCTTGGAGGGTGGGGCTCCCCAGGGGAGTCGTCAGCCTTTAATGAAATTGCTTCCCCAGCTGCTCCATGGGTTTTATATATTGGAATGTTCTAGATGGGGTGAGAAGTGCTGAATCAATTATCCTCTTCCTGTTCTGACCAGTGAAGGAAAGGGGGCTGGGACCTCTTCTCCACCCCTTGGGGGGGGCCTGGGGGTCCTCACAGCCCTGAGGCCAAGAAAGGGCTTGGAGAAGCCTGGGGAGGAGGCTGCTTCTGCTTTGGGGAACTCAGCTTCCTGGCCATGCCCTTTCCAGGCTGGGGACCCACAGGATGGCGGAGGTGGGGGTGGGTGAACACAGTGTTCTTGCTCTAGGGCTTCCACTTGCAGATGATTCCAAGTGCTTCAGTGTCCCCAAAATAACAAGTGCCTCAGTGTCACAAACTAATTCCTCGTCCTGAGAGAGGAGCCTATCCTCTGCAGAGAGGGTCTTGGGTCATGCTGCCTGCCCGCCCCATTGGCCTGCTGACCTTGGAAATGGGGTCAAGGAGGCCAGCCTGAGGCTGTGGTTTGGGTGACTCTTCTGTCCAGGGTTGGCTTCCATCAGCATGGATGGGGCTGGAGGGCCAGGGTGAGGCTCCTAAGGGGGCTGTGCAGGGCAGGAAAGGGGAAGCTGGCTCCCCAGGGTGAAGTCTGTAGCACCTTTCAGTGCCTTCACTCCAGGACAGGGTGCTTTGGGGAAATGTTGGATTCTCCTGGTCCATGTGCCTCAGAGTGGATGGAGCTGGGACCTGTC